AATCGGCCATAAATACAACGGAGCAACAAGTCATTAGATAAACATACATGGACGTACTTTCCCCGATATTTTCACGTAAAAATACCAGAATAGACGGTACATATTTCCTAACCAGAGTCAAGGAAAAATTATCTTGCGACCTCTTTTATTTGCCTCATTTAACCCATCCGTTATACTTCTTGATTTCTATTCTAACCTACAAATCTAGCTCCCCTGTCATTATGGTCAGGCATTTCACCACGACATATTTTAAACCTCAACAATACTAGCCTTTTTCTTCTTTGCTGCTGACAGTTGATATCACAGTATGAACTTATTTAGGATCCATTCTCTCCTATTTTTGAAGTAGGCCTCGATGATCCTGCTGGCAAGAGCTCCACACCTTCAAATCGTTAAAAAATTTTCATGACTTAATATAATAATTTACTCCATTAGGTCGATTCTTTATAAGTCATGATGGCCATAAAGATGGAAGGTAAATTTTCATACAAAAGAATGTGAATAATGTTGGTGTGACTCGAACAACAATGTAAACATTGGCGCGCCTTAAGGAGGTTGCGTTGCAACGAGCAGATGGTGGTTGAGAATAAAGGTAAGTGATTTTCGGGGGTGTTTACAACAAGAAGCAATGTGGTAAGTGCATAATCAGTCATTCGAAAAAGCCAACTTGAATGTACTGTTTTTGCGCTTCTTGGTAGTGTTCTCAGACAATCAGGTTAACAGGCATCTAGTAGGTACGATGAGACTATAAATCCTGAAATATTGTGGTATTAATGAAGGGGTGGAATGTAATCTTACGTTGCATGTATTACTAATCGGTGGTACGCATGTTCAGCCTCCTCAAACATGATTAGATTGAAATCAATGCCCTCTCTGTCAATGTTTACTGGTCAGTGAGTCCACACTCCATCCTACTTTGATATTAGATTATTTTAAACTAATGATTAGATTGCAATTATTAATTACCCCCAACTTCCCAAGTTTAGGTCTGGATTTGATTGGAATTTATTTATTTATTTATTCGCGCGCTCTATTTAAAAGGACAGTGGTATTCTTTCTCGTTGAGTTAATTAACTGTTTTGATCGTAAATTACGCATCAAAACTACTGTTTACAATTTAATTGCATCTACCCCAGTTAAAGTGATATTGTATTGAGTTTTTCGATTTTGCTTCTGTGTATTTATTGCATCGAAGCATACTTGGTCGACTTTTACTTGGTTTATTTAGTTAAGGTTTGAAAATCCTTTTACATATCCTGTTTTTGTCACCGTTCTAGTTGATTTTCAAGATGGCTAGGTCTACTCATAAATGTGGACAACCATACTGCTTATTTCCCGTGGATGAAGGGATGCAATGTGATGAGTGTAATAAGTGGTTCCATAAGATGTGCACCCGATTAAGCCCCACTGCATATAAAAGGTGCTCAAAGCCCAACTCTCATTGGCTTTGTAGTTTTTGTTGCTCGAGCAAAACATTGCTTATCCAGGAAGCAATTAGTCTCCTGGTGTTGGCTAGTAAGAAGGTCGATGAGGGCTGTACTGATAACACTGGTACGGATGGCGAAGATTGCGTTAGTGTCGTAAGTGCTATCACGGCGCAAGCCAGACATCTACCTGTGCAACCCGCAGTTAAACGTTCTCCCCCAAAACGATCAGTGAGTGACACGTCATTAGACGTTGGTGGCCATATTGCTACAGCAGCAACCGGTGACCCAGATAAAACAATTACTGTCCCGAGTTGTTCTAATGTAGACGTTTCGACTGATGGAAAATGGATGACGCGAAAACGCAGAAGAGTAGGAAAGATAGCTAAAACTAATGACTGTTTACTTGGTAAGTCCTTGGTGGACTCTCAGACCAATCCGCCAAAGTCTCATAGTAAAGCTTCGTCTGACATTGTTGTTAGTCATTCGCTTGACTCCCAGGACTCTGTTAAAATAAAAACTAATCGTAAGATACCAGTAGTTAAAATACAGGATCTAACGTCACGGTCGAAAGCTGTGAACACAGTTTCAAAAGAAGCTAAACCCCTCCCTAGTTTAATTATTTGGAATCTAGAGGAGTCGAAAGACAACGACCCTGCTAAAAGACATGCACATGACCTGCAGTTAGTGGAGTCTGTGGTAAGGAATGTACTACCTGAAGAGGTTTCAGGGGTACATATTACAAAAGTAATACGACTTGGCAAATGGGTTGGAGGCGAGACCCAACCAAGAAGGATCCTGAAGCTGGTTCTCGGGAGTTTCGAAGAAAGAGACATATTATTGAAAAGCACACTAAAAACTCGTGCCTCAAATATCCGTATTCGACCAGATTGGCCGCTTGAGGATCGAATCAAGTGGAAGAATGCTCTTACGGAGTTGAGGACTCGCAAATTAAATAGCGAAAATAACCTTACCATTAAGGGTTTTCGGGTAGTCAGGTCTTGGAAGCCAATGCTTCCGAGGCCTGTATGGGTAGAACGATTGATCTCCAAAACACCTTAAGTGTGTGCTACACGAACGCTCGTAGTCTTAGAAATAAAACGTCTGAGCTAAGTCTGATGGTGCAAGAATTATGTCCCGATATAATCGTTGTTACAGAAACTTGGTTCACCGTTGATATAGACTGTTCTCCTTTCATTGCTGGTTATATCTGTATCAGAAGTGATAGAGTTTCAAGTCGCAAGGGGGGAGGTATAATATTTTACGTTAGGGATCACTTTCGTATACAATCAACCATATCGGAGGCTCATATCAGTGGCACATGTGAGGTTGCATGTTGTAAGATTAAATCTAGAAATGGGTTAGTGACTATAGGGGGAATATACCGTAGTCCGTCTTGTCTGGCTGACGACTTTATCCTAAGACACATCTGTTCTTGGAGTATGGCAGAATGTTGTCTCATCATTGGGGACTTCAACGCACCGCATATCAACTGGATAGAGCTTACAGCTCCAGGTAGTGGTTTCGATAGCGACCTTTTATCTACCGTTATTCAGTGTGCACTTGTACAATGTATCACAAAACCGACACATATTGATTTGCAACATGTTCCGTCACTGCTGGACCTCGCCCTCACCCACCACTCTGAGGATGTCTTTGATATCCAGCACCTTCCTCCACTAGTGAACAGTGATCACGTTGTAATTCACTTTAAGTTTAGGACGCATGGTATACAATTCGTATCTGCTCCACCCCGTCCCAATATCTGGCGAGCTAATATTCCGGAAATCAGAAACCGTGCTATCTTGACCGATTGGTCGGTCGACGCGGATGGATTGATCGAAGATGAATGGAATAAGTTTAAGGCTACATTCGAGTCCGTAACGTCGCCGTTTATCCCATGGTCAGCACGTAAGCTATCACATTGCCCTCCATGGATTAATAAGGAAACCCGGAAGCTGTTAAAGCGTAGGAAACATTTCTGGGACTTATTCTTGTTGACAGGTCATGCACCATTTAAGTGTGAGTACCAAAAATACCGTAATATCTGTAAGAAAACCATAGCGAAATCCCGTACCACTTACGAACGACAGTTAGTATATGATAGCCGTACTTGTCCGAAACGATTGTTTTCGTATGTTAAACGGTAAATGAAACGTAGTGATGGTATTCCCCCGTTACTGTTACACGAAATTTCTGAATTACTAGCTGAATCAGATCGAGCAAAAGCTGAGACTTTTTCAGACTATTTTAGCGAAGTCTTCTCTACGTTTATTGTAACAAATACTTGTCCCACTCACACCGAGATACCAACCATTGAATCTGTACAGGTGACTGAGGAAACTGTCCTTCCGTTGATAACTAACCTCAAACCTGGTAAGATACCGGGCCCTGACGGGTTACATCCACGGTTGCTGTCATCTCTTGCGGACATTATTTCAAAACCGCTTGCGACACTCTTCAACATGTCCCTCTCACTCGCTCAACTCCCTAGAGATTGGAAGGACGCTATAGTTAGTCCTATATTTAAGGACGGTCAGCGACAGATAGTATCTAACTACCGGCCTGTCAGTCTAACTAGCATAGTCGTTAAGTTACTCGAAAAGATAATTCGGGTTAGGTTGCTAAGCCACATAGATTCACACAATCTGTTAGCTCCTGAGCAACACGGATTTCGTAACAAGCGTTCTTGCTTGACTAACTTGCTTATTGCGAGGGAGGATTGGACAGCAGCTCTAGATAACGGTTTGTCTGTCGATGTGATATTCGTAGATTTTAGCAAAGCATTTGACAAGGTTTCACATGTAGGTCTTATGCATAAGCTCACGAGCTTCGGCATAATAGGTTCTGTACAAGAGTGGATAGGAAATTTCTTATGTGACCGCAGACAGAGAGTAAGGGTCAATGGGACGCTATCCGATTGGAAGCCGGTCAAAAGTGGTGTACCCCAAGGCACCATCTTAGGCCCTCTGCTCTTCCTTCTCTACGTTAATGAGTTACCGCTGTTACTTAGGTCGTCGACATTATTGTTTGCGGATGATGTAAAAATCTGGAGAAAAATAAAAAGTGCGGCTGATCATGTGGATCTTCAAGCTGACTTAGACGATTTAGTTAGATGGGCTCGAGAGTGGGGCTTAGAAATCAATGCTAGGAAGAGTGTACTAATGCACGTCGGTCACGGTAATAGTTACCGTTACACTATTGAGGGTAAACCTCTTCCATGCGTTCAAGAGCATAAAGACTTAGGAGTAGTATTAAGTCATGATTTAAAAACAACTACGCATTGCAAAGCAGCCGCTGTCAAAGGTTTTCGTGATGGTCACTTCGCCGAGCGTTCAAATCTTTTGACAAGGAAACGTTTCGAATTTTATATCCCATATATGTTAGACCACATTTAGAGTACTGTATCCAAGCAGCTAGCCCGTGTCTGGTAAAAGATACTAACTCCCTTGAGCGTGTCCAGCGTGTGGGAACGAAATTAGTGAAGGGTCTTTCTAGACTCCCTTACGATGAGCGTTTAAAACGCCTAAATCTTTTCCCCTTGTCGTATCGTAGGACACGAGGTGACCTTATACTGGCATTTCGTATCTTTAATTATGATTTGGGTGTTAATACGTCTTATCTTTTTGCTCCCTCCAGCACTAATAATCTCCGAGGTCATAGCAAGAAGGTTCATAAACCACGATCTAATAAACTTAAAGTGGGGTCCCGTTTTTCTCATCGAGTAGTCAATCATTGGAACGCCTTACCCGAACAAGTGGTATCAGCCCCATCAGTGAATACTTTCAAGGAAAAGCTGGACCTTCACTGGAAAGCAATGTGTTAGGATTAACACATGTTCATCAACCTACTATCCTTATTACTGAAGACTGAAGACTCGAACACACATTGGTACAGGGAGGGGGCTACAAATACCTCTACTACTACGGGATTTGAGTCGACAACTTCATCTCTGTGTTAATTTGGTATGGCAACTCTAACTGATGTATGTACGTACGAAGTTCTACGTTGTTATTGACTGACTTACTGCACCAAATACATACGCGCCACACAATAACAATTCGTAGTTATCATAGACTTATGTAAGAGCTGTGATACTGCCCGGGTTATTGTCTTAGGGAGCCACACTCGAGCCTTTGATCTAAAGGTCTAATCCACAAGGCAGTGGAGCAATGTTAGGAGATGCAGTCTCATGGTAGTCAGTGCACTTATTACCATCTAAATTAGTTTTTATCATCTCAGTCATAGCTCATAGCCTAAACTTTTTGTCTTTCAAACATTCAGTCAGAAATTTGAAGTCCACTTCATCTACATCGTTGTAAGTAACTGTATGGTATCTTAAGCGTTTGCAGTGGGATTTAGCTCAATAATATACAGCGTGCCTTTTGAGTTATATTCAGTCAGTCAGTCATCAACAACGTAGAACTTCGTACGTACGTACATCAGTTCGAGTTGCCACACCACATTAGCACACAGATGCAGTTGTCGATTCAAATCCCATAGTGGTAGAGGTAATAAGAGTATAAGCAGTAATCGGGAAGATTAGTGTTTGGAGATGTTATTTAAAGAGTATAATCCAGTGAAATAAATTTGGAAAGAGGAAAAAAGGGACATGAAGAATTCAGAAGATTAGAATTTGGGAGAACACAGAGAGTGGATGCACCTGGGCCATTGCAAACGATTTTGCACCATGTCATTCAGGGTCTCTAACCATCGGTTGATATCATCTCGCGGTCCCCAACCAGGTAGTCTACACCTACCAACATGACTCAGTTCACTTGTCAGTGACTTCATGGACTTGTGCCATGTTTTGGTTTGGCCGCCCCTAGCTTTCTTCCAACCTACTCCTATACCACTGAACATAGCACGTCGAGGCAGTCGGTCGTTGGGCATACGTAACACGTATCCCAGCTATCTCAACTGATGAAGTTTCACTACTTCATCAATTGATTTGCCATCCTTACCTAGTACCCGTTTCCTAACAACTGTGTTACTTACTCGATGGTCCCATGATATACGAGCAATGTTTCGAAGACACCTATGATCAAATACTAGTAGCCTACGGATATCCTCTACTCTTACCGGCCATGTTTCACTGCCATAAAGTAGGACGGAACGAACTGCTGCGCAGTAAACACGTCCTTTGGTTGGTAGACGGATATCTCGCCTACGCCATAAATGACGCAAGTTGGCAAAAGCTAGTCGAGCCTTCTGTATACGTGCTGAGATTTCGTCACACACCGGACCACAAGGGCTGATGAGACTTCCAAGATAAGTGAAGCGGTCGACACACTCAACTACTTCACTCCCTATCACTAGTTCGGGTGTCGATGTAACCCAATCCTGAAGCAACATTTTGCATTTCGAGGGAGAGAATCGCATCCCGAACATGCTTGCATTGTTGCTTAGAGTGGTCAGAAGACTCTGCATTTTGTCAGCGTCTTCACCAAATAAAACTATGTCATCTGCATATTCTAAGTCAACAAGTGAACCTCCCGGTAGAAGTTCAACCCCTGGAAATTTAGATGAGGAGAGTGTTATCTCTAAAAGTATGTCGACCACAAAGTTGAACAAGAATGGGGAGAGTGGACAGCCCTGACGAACACCACTTGAGGTAATCAATTCTGATGACAGTTCGCCATAAGCTCTCACTCTACCAGTTGTGTTCGAGTAGAGAGCCTTTATAAGGTTAATGTACTTCTTTGGTACTCCTTTCAGTGACAAACACTGCCATAGAACCTCACGATCAACAGAGTCGAATGCCGCCTTAAGGTCGAGAAATACTGCAATTGTGGGGCGATGAGTTATATTATTTACTATCGATACCAGATATGTAGACAACTACAGTAAGTTAAAAGCCTATTTCCCTCTTTAGATTGTGTAACTTGCTCAAAATCTTAACAAAATTAACTGATGCTTTACTCTGGTAGACTGTGCGAGCAAATAGGATATCGAGTTGTTCTGACCATCTGTTCATGGGATGATTTCCTCAATTTTGTTCAGGATCCGTTTGTTCCGTTTTTATGTTTGTTATCTCAGTATTCTGGGGGATATGTATGCAAAGCGTTTTATGTGTATCAACTACTTTTTTACAGAACTATAATTCCTACTGATTTTATCTCTTCATACTCTCACATTTTCTATAAATAACTTGCTTTATTATCAAGTTACCCTGACGATTTTCCCCGTCAATTTAATTTTTTTATCGAAGATTATTTATATTTGAGTCGTCATTATACTGAATAAATTGAAATAATGGAATTATGTGAATGTAGACCAATAGACAATATCTTAATTTAACTTAGTGATACTTTTGTGCCATCGTCCTTACATGTGTTTGGTTCATAAATTCATTCGTAAACATCCACATAATTAATAAGACGTTTTAGTAATATATTCGAACTAATCAAAAGTACTTTTCTTCATTACAGTGGCATAGATTTCCTTGAAGTCACCCTTCAATTTTTCAGATATTCTTTCATGAATTTTATTTTAACACCGAATGAGAAAAGTTTTGTTTGAATTTTCTGAATCATTTGAAAACGACGTTCATGTTCATGTCAAAGAGTGGCTTGAATTTCCTATGAGACTCACTATTTCAGAATGTGCTTCTCAACTAGCAAGTGCATATGATATTCCAGATGTCGCTTCTAAAGGTATATCCCTTAAAATTCCCTTGCTAAAAATCTAGTTTTCTATGAAAGATTATCAGATTTCATATCTGAAGAAAATACAAATGACTTTAAAGATCATTATTTAAAGTTGGTAAACGATCTAAGGTCTGATGTATCAAATATAGAAAAATTTTGTTCTGTTTTTGACCCTTCGCATCATAACGTAAGCAGTATTTAATTAATAATTCTATCTAATCAGAATTCCACTTCATCAAAACCAGCCAAACTGAACGATCAGGAAGTTTTTTCACACGCTTTCAGTCAGATGATTCATTCGCCTGCAGCACAAGATTTTATTCACTTAGAACAATTGTTTGCTCTTGAAGTCGGTTATAAACTTCAAAAACGAGATGATACCCTAAAGGAAATGGATCAAAAGTAATCTTTATTATTCTCTTTGTGTAATTTTTCTTATTATTTTTATGTGGAACACAATCCTTAGTCTCCCATATACTTAAGCATACAGATTTCTATTTCTGAGTCCATATCTCTTGTTGTAAGTCGTATTTAAATTGAAATGTAGTTATAAAATATTGTGCTCAACTTTTCTGCGAATTCGCAGCATGGGTTCACTTTGGGGCACTGATTGTCTATCAGAATCTAGTTGTGTACTAAGTCATCTATATTCAAATAAGAGAGATAACTGACTGTTTAGTAACTAGGGTATCTAGCATAGATAGCCTTGATCAACAGCACTTAATATCATATTAGGACCATGCTTTGAAACCTTGATATTCAACTATCATTGTGTTGAAATTCATTCTTGCTAGTTAATATGAGTCATATAACTGACCACCACTAGCATCTATTTTTATAATTTTCTTGTTTCAACTAGTTGGAAAGAAGTCATTATGTTAACTATGATTATAAGATGGTCACTCGGTTTATTGAGTTGATATTTCAAATCATGTAATGCAAATAGTAAGCTATTTTATGGACTAATATTTTATTAAATGAGTACACGAATAACTATGCTACCTGAATTTATATAAGTTATTATAATACTCTAAAAGCGCTCAGATTTAAAACTATAGAACTTAAGTATACAAAACAATAACAACGACCACTGTTTATTGCAAATTCACTGGATTTTTGAAAGTTAACCAGTAATCTACTTGTTACAAACACTATCATTACTTAAAAGTCTTGGATTCAAATGCTCAGTGATTAGAAAGTCCCGAATTAGAAAAAAGAAATCACTTCATATACGTTTTTAGAGTTCAAAAGATTACTCAACAGATATCGGTTTGTAATAAAAAGCTTTCATTTCATTTATTTTCCTTTAAATCTATCAGCTGAATCTTTACATAAATCACTCTTATTGCTCTAAAATTATCATTTATCAGATTTCTAATTCACATTTAAGAAAATATCGGTTTTCGTATATCGTCAGCTTGAAGAATATGACTATATGTGCTAAAACATTATGAGATACTCACAGTTACAGCATAGAAGTGTGACTTTATTGACTTGGTTCGTTTAATTTTCAGCTAATTTGATCTTTCACTTCATTTACTAACCTCTATTCAATCAGGTATTATACTATCAATTATCCTATAAATACGCGAGGCCCATTACTTAAGTCTATAAGCATTCAGGATTCAGTTTAAAAAAGGTGATAAACAAGTCAGTTTTCATGTAAATTGCTTTTGTTGTGACATATGTGTAACTCTTACCTTAAATGATTTTTTCATTTAAAACTAGTAGCCGTTTTCTTTATATTCAGAGAAAAAGTCAACTCAATAAGTATTATAAATAATCAATTGGATAGAAATCCGTATATAACATGTTTACAATGACGGAGACTTTAGTATTTCGTTTTTCTCAAGTATTAGTAGCCTTGTGACCACTGACGTATATTTACGATCTGACAATGAATACTTTTGTTCTTTTTTAAACCAATTTTCTAGGCACATTGATGAAACTGAACGTAGTATACAAAAGCGTGGTAGCGAAGTCCCAGAGACCATCACACAACTCCAAGAGGACTATTATCTCAATAGAGAAGTCATTATAAGTCATTGGGATAGTTGTATAAGTGCATTAAAATGGGAACATCGTCAAGCACTGAGAACATTTGTTATGTCTTATGAAGGAAATATCAATAGTTTACCAACAAATAACGATCGTCCCAATTTAACCCGGATGTTCTTTGTTTAAAAGACTTCAGAGAAGTTATCGCAAAACTAGATTTTTATTTATATTCGTACCATCAATCTTTTTTTCTTGTATTTGATCTGATAAATAAAAAAAACGAATAGATATAATAAGCCACACAAGTAGAAACCTATATGCAATCGGCTAACATAGTCATATATAATTAGAAAATATATACACAACTGATCAGAATTTTATCTCGGCACTCTACAATTGACAGTAAGTAGTTTCAGATTGGTTTGCATATATTTTCAGAGACTGGGACTCAATGGTTTACACTAGTAACGTGAACCCCAGTTCTTGGCTGCACTTAAACCTCATCCAATTGAAATTCTTTTCACAACATCTACGGCCGAAGTCGTGGCCACAACATCATCTAGACCGAAATATTTTAAGTCAAATAATATCATATTCGAGCAATTTATATATATATATATATATAATATATATATATATATAAATTTTTCACTCTATAGTAACGGCCGACTGCCTCGACGTGCGATGTTCAATGGTATAGAAGTAGGTTGGAAGAAAGCTAGGGGCGGCCAGACCAAAACATGGCACAAGTCCATGAAGTCACTGACAAGTGAACTGAGTCATGTTAGTAGGTGTAGACTACCTGGTTGGGGACCGCGAGATGATATCAACCGATGGTTAGAGACCCTGAATGACATGGTGCAAAATCGTTTGCAATGGCACAGGTGCATCCACTCTTTGTGTTCTCCCAAATTTTGATCTTATTCCTCCTTGTCTCTTTTTTTTCTCTTCCCAAATTTATTTCACTGGATTATACTCTTTAAATAACATCTCCAAACACTAATTTCCCTGATTACTGCTTATACTCTTATTACCTCTACCACTACGGGATTTGAATCGACCACTGCATCTGTGTGCTAATGTGGAGTGGCAACTCAAACTGATGTACGTACGTACGAAGTTCTACGTTGTTACTGACTGACTGACTCTATAGTACTTTAGTGGCCACTTTTTCCTCTTAACATCCATGCTTTTAATTAGGAATTTACGACCAGTTGTCTGCCGGTCTCTGATCATCAGTGGTTTGTCAGCAAATTATCCTTAGCTGTTATTCAACACCGTCGCATTTGTGTTTTTATCTTAGCTTGCTTAGAGCCATGATTCTTAAGTCGATAATTTATACTGACTGAGAGCGATAAAAAGTTTGTATCCCTTGACACATTTGAGCTAAATAACTAATGACTTCATACGTGGCATTTCCTGATAATATCATGCAGTATTTTTCATTGGTTACCCGTAACTTGCGTTCCAGCAAATGCAGAAACACTACACCAACTTTTTTCTCTAAGACTTGAAAGTATGGTTTTAATATTGCTACAAGAGCTTTAATTTTAAAAATATTTACGACAAATGTACACTAACAGTTACGCATTCCCGTTTAATGTTTTTTTTATACAGTTCATCTAAAACTTTGAATTCCTTATTAAAGAAATCATCTATCATAAATAATCAAGCTATTTCTAAACGGACTGATCATATTCCATTATCAGAAACTTTCACTGTACAATTGGGTCGTCAGTTACGAACAATGTTCAATTTTCGTTTAATTAGATTAGATCCATCTGAATTATTAACAAGATTGAAAGTCCAGGAAAATCAGTTAAGTCCTTTTGTTTAGATTTTTCAAAATATTATGATTTTCATCGTTAATATTTATGACATTATGTATTGTTTTTTAAAGTTTTTAGCAATTTTTCCGACGAAAAGGTAAGTTTTTAGGCATCGCTACTACTAATGTGTCATTTTTTCATAAAGACAAGTCTTTCAGTATAAAAATAATTTTTCTGACATTTCGTGATATTATGTAGTTTGCTTCTACGTCGGACAAGTCTAACGAATGTACACATATTTAAACAGTTTAATGAACAAGTCAGATCAAATTGTCAGTAAATACAAGTAAATGTGTGTTAACGTTTGATACGGATACAGAGGGCTCGACTAGCTTTTACCTACTTGCGTCATTTATGGCGTAGGCGAGATATCCGTCTACCAACCAAAGGACGGGTTTACTTCGCAGCATTTCGCTCCATCCTACTTTATGGCAGTGAAACATGGCCGGTAAGAGTAGAGAATATCCGTAGGTTACTAGTATTTGACCGTAGGTGTCTTCGAAGCATTGCTCGTATAGCCTGGGACCATCGAGTAAGTAACGCAATTGTTAGGAAACGGGTACTAGGTAAGGATGGCAAATCAATTGATGAAGTAGTGAAACTTGATCAGTTGAGATGTCTGGGATACGTGTTACGTATGCCCAACCACCGACTGCCCCGATGAACGATGTTTCATGGTGTAGGAGTAGGATGGAAGAAAACTAGGGGTGGCCAGACCAAAACATGGCACAAATCCATGAAGTCACTGACAAGTGGACTGAGCCATGTTGGTAGGTGTACACTATGTGGTTGGGGACCGCGAGATGATAGCAACCGACGGTTAGAGACCTTGAATGACATGGTGCAAAATCGTCTGCAATGGCGCAGGTGCATCCACTCTTTGTGTCCTCCCAAATTCTATTCTTGTGAATTCTTCATGTCCCTTTTTTCCTCTTTCCAGATTTATTTCACTGGATTATACTCTTTGAATAACATCTTCAAACCTTAATCTCTCCGATTACTGTTTATACTTTTACTACCTCTACCACTACGGGATTTGAATTGACATTTGTATCTGTGTGCTAATGTGGTATGGCAACTCGAATTGATGTACGTACGTACGAAGTTCTACGTTGTTACTGACTGACTGAACGTTTGATACGATGCCAAAAGATTGAGTCTAACAGTTAGTTCTTAAGTGATTGGAGAATGATGGTTAGTTCGGTTGCGCAATTCACGTTAATTAGCATACCTTTTCTAAATAAACATAGTATGATTGGAAATTACATTCAGTGGTTGAACTACTCTTTTTACTTTGTACGTATTGAGATTCTTATAATTATTGTCACTTTTACTTTGTACAGTTTGCTTGATGATGACTGGCTAGCTGAACGTATGAACAATGCTTTAAACATCTATTCAAACAATTTAAACGGTTTAATGATTCTAGTGGATAAACGAATTAATTCTTTCCGTGGAATTAAGAAACGTAAGTTAGTAATTTCTATAACTTGTAATAATAAAGGTTATATACCAAAGAACTGTTAAAGTATGTAACTCAATGGTCAGTCATTTGTACTCTTTTAACTTTATTCCAGATTTTTTTAATTAGAGTATCTATTTAAGTCTTTTAGCATGGATGAACTGCATATGGCACACATCAATAAAAGCAACTTACACAAGAGAGTATCCAAAGGGTGCAAAGCAAATAACCTAAAGTCTGTCTTAAAATGTTATAATTAGGTATTTAGTACTGTTGTAAGGCTACAACTATACTAATGTCAACGAATGAAATCTTCAAACGTTGTACCTTAGTAGAATGGTTTTGAAGCATTAACTATTAATTATCATTTTTGGTGTTTATAATTCAGCCTTAAGTGACGGAATATTGTGTAATGTACAGGATTCTTTTTCATTCTCATTACTTAATTAAATAGTTATTTTTTGTTGGTTTATGATAAATTATTGTAAAATTTTTATATTAAATAATAACCTTCCTCTATCTATAATTATTGATTCCTTGAAATTAAAACACAATTTTTAACAAATAGATCGTTAAATCGAATCCCCATTTCACTTGTTTTTGGTTAACCAAACAGTATCACTTGTGACCTTATAGAAATAATGTGGCTGGAAGTTTTGATTTTATTAATCTGTACGTTTATTCTTTATTTTTTCGTTTAAATAGTTTTAGCGGATGCGTGTGAGCAGTCTGCTGAATTACATTTCCCTGAATTAGGTTCCCAGTTAGAATCTATACAGGAAACAGTTAATCGTTTGGGATCACGTCAGTTAACGGAATTAAATGGTGAATCTAAATTAAGAAATAATGATTTGTGTAGTGGAATTTCTACAGGTTGGTATATGGTTTTGTCTATTGTTATTCGTGTATACATGAGATTTAATCGGATTTCGCTGAATTGACAGTTAAATGTATATTCATTTACTCATGGTGTACACAAAAATCATTCAGATTTGTTCCCTTCCCTTGTTTATCTAAATTTCAGAAAACTACCTACTTTCAATTAGAAGCTTTCCATTTGATAATAACATGCAACTATCTAGAATGAAACTCGTAGCATTGTTAATTAAGTACTCTCTCGAAATTTTTTTCTCACTTACTCCTTTCAATTGAAGCCATAGAAAAGGGACTACATGGTGTAAGCTACACTAAATGTATTTAAAAAAAAGATAAATATATACACCTCATATTATGGTCTAGATTAATAAAAATATTACTTTCACTTGGCTATGAATTAAACCTTCATGAGTCACTGGTTGAAATTGCTCACTATATACCTATGTCTAGACTGCTATTTATTTCTTATCCAACAGCATGTAACTTATAACTTCTTAGTAAACGAGTTTTTCCCACTATTGCTAGTTACTCCGCTGTTAATGTTGTGACTGGAAAGCAAAATGCATAAGCCTGCACTTTAAAAAAAGGTACATCAAACTTATCAAATATATAGTGGTTGCCGAACCCAAACCATGACATCCATCGTTGACTTTTGGATTGAGCTGTGTCAAGAGGTTCAGACTTTATGGTTATGATTTGTAAGTCAATTGTATTTGTGGTTAAGGTTATCACTCGATATTGGTCGCTACAGTGCAAATAATTCAATTCTCTTTCTGTCGGATTGTTAGTGTGACTATTATTTCATACTTAGCATTTCATTAGCTTAAATGTCTTGACTTGATAACCATTTTCTTACTGTAAATTTCCCATTAAATTCACAGCTAATTTCAATTAGTCCCCCATGGGTAACGGTGATTCTTTGTATACATTTTTTCAATGTATTACACTTTAAATCTTCCAAGGTTCTTAGGATCTAATCTTTAAAAAACGCTTGTAAATGTTTTTGAGATTAAAATACATCAATATAATCACAACATTACTTTCACTACTCTACTTTTGTTCTATTCCTCAAACTTATATAAATGTGTGATTTTACCAAAAAACACCCATTCAGTTTGACAGTTGTGTTATTTCCGTTTTTTAGTACCAGTTCATTTTGAAATGTGTTTAAGTTATTCAGCATCGTGAACAGTTATCAATCGGTTACATCGTGTCATTGCACAATGTCCGTTGATCAGCATTCTAATTCATTGTTTTAGCAGCCCAAAACATGTTCATAACGAAACCTAAAATTGTCCTCCTTAGCATACATAGCATATTCTCTACTATTAGATTAGTTAGTCGAAAGGAACCTATCTCATTGTCACAAATATGCCTCCTATCTTTAATATTATAATTGCATCATAATTTGCATTTTACACTCCTAGTAGAGTAATAAATTGTTTTCTACATTATAACTAACCATTCGATATATTATGACACCATGACTTAACATCTTTCTTAAATTAAGTAGTTTTAACCAATTTACATTTTTCTTCTTTAACTTTTTTTTTGTTTTGTCCTATAGTTAAATCAAAATCTGACTGTTATGAACCAATTCATGGTGATGTATTAATCACTAAGCATTCTAATTTAATCAGTAGTACCGGTGATGGTATAAATGTTATTTTTCAAGTGGTCATTGATGAAAATTATGAAACTAATAATAATATACGTATTCCATCTTCATTACACAATGCCATATCAGCTGTACTACGTACTTGTTTCGAGTACGATATTACAACTTTATCCTTGCCGTTATTATTGGTTTCATCAGTATCTGAAGTACGTTGTGTGTGTTTTGTGTCGCGTCATTCATCTGACTGTTTTTTTTTACGATCAGTAACTTTCTATATTTAATAATAAAAAGATTTGTGGAATTTATTTATTTGAACTAAGATTATATATGATTCCACTACTCAACTGTATTTTCTATAAGTTGACTGTGGTAGTTGGATAGTGTCACAAAGTATTATTTGTAGTTCATTTTATATATTGAACAAAATAGGAACATACCTCGCAATAAATCACTGCTTTCGTAAGTGGTACAAGTTTTAATACATTTGTTATTTGGCTAGCAGTGGAGTCCAGGACAATATGTGGTCTTACTTGGGACTCATCAGTCGGATATCCGTACATTCATTTGTTGCTGCTTACATTGAGACTTAAACTTAGTGCCCAACACCAACAGGTTATCCACTAATTTACTAAGTCCAGCTAGCCACTAAAATTTTTACTGACTAAAGATATTTGTAACTTGGGATGATGTGATGTAGTATAGAAACTTAAACTTATGAACATATGTCCTAGATTGTAAGTTTTATTCGACCGACTGACTAGCTGATATTATGTTCCTTAAACATTTAATTGATATTTGTAAGTAACTGGTTATTCTTCTACCTTTCAATAACTTCCACCTGAATACTGTTTTTTGTTCAATTTTGATAAAAGAATATGGATAGATCATGGAGAGCTAAACGTGTCGAAACAGTACTTAAAGCTGTTAAGGGTACATTGATGGAATTGATCACATGGCGTGGTCCCAATTTACGATCTATACAATTTCTCGCACCTTCATGGATTACAGATGAAGAATTGAATGTATTTCGACAAATTATTTCTAATTCATTCTTACAACCGAATCCATTAATTGTAGTGTAGTGATTTTCTTCAACATGTTACTTCTTGATTTATTCTTTTTATTTAACTAATGTAAAAATATGTTGTGTTTTCTGGTTTAATCATTTACTACTATATTTTAAATAAAGACGACTGTTTATAGTTTTCTTTGTGCAAATAGTTCTCGTCTATTTATACAGATATGTGAAAATAAACGGCAGGGTTTTGATAAGTGAAGTTGTAAATGATAACCTCTCAAAACCCCTACGTCGATTAAAGGGGTTAATGCTGGAAATTTGCTAAATGTCACTTGTACATAGAATGATCTACACTCCAACAGTTGTGTGATATTCAGTACATTAATAAGCCCTACAATATTTACCGTTGACAAGCTGAACGTTAAACTGGTCATATTAAACAAGTCCTCTTAAAATCAGACTCAAAGGAACTAGATGTTTGCAATCTTGGTCCAACTAGCGTATCTTCTCTCGTTCTCCTCTGGTTTAATTATACTACGGAAGGTCAGTTGTTTTCGTTGACAATCAATAACTGCTGAAATAGAAATTATATGACCTTTCAGCAAAATATGTAACATAGATATTGTAATTTTAATATTCATTCCAACAAATATCTATCTTCATCCACATCTCTTAAAACGCAGTGACAACGTTTGGATTATATAACTACTTATATAATAACTAGTTCCAATCCAACAGCTTTAGTTATATGTTTTATTCTTTCAGTTTATAGCTGGAAGATCCAATCATAATCATAGCTTATTTTCACATAAAACAGTTGAGATTGTATTCTAAGAAGCTTTTTTGAGTATCTGCTGGTCGATTACCCTGTAATAGCCTGCAAAGTTACTCTCAAAACACTTACATCATTGTGACAAATGGACAGTACGAATATCCATCCCTTGATTGTTCATGTGATTCATAAGTGTTCCGTATCCAATTTTCAGCCAATTCGGGATTTCATTTGCTATAATCATAGCTTATTTTCACATAAAACAGTTGAGATTGTATTCTAAGAAGCTTTTTTAAGTATCTGCTGGTCGATTACCCTGTAATAACCTGCAAAGTTAATCTCAAAACAGTTACATCATTGTGACAAATGGACAGTACGAATATCCATCCCTTGATTGTTCACGTGATTCATAAGTGTTCCGTATCCAATTTTCAGCCAATTCGGGATTTCATTTGCTATAATAAACCATAAAATTACTAACAAGAAATAACTATTAGTCAAGTAAGTAGTGTAGAAATACATATTTCACTTAATGTGAACAGGAAGTTAGTAAAGTCTATACTTACTTTGTGGATAGTTGTTTCTTAATTAATCTAACCTTATTTCGAGTATAAATTTAACGAGGTCATTACTAATTGTTTATGAATATGATTTTAGTCACTCATGACTTAATGTAAAGGTTGGTAATCAGTTTGATAATAACTGGTTCGGAATATCTGATTTTTTATTGTGCTCTAGATTGTTTTCTTATCTGTAAAGCAAGAAAACGAAAGTTACAAAAATCACTGTTAAGTAAATGGGATATTATAACCAAGTCGCTGAAGTTTCTCCTATATCATAATAGTACGTTCCTGAGGTTGCTTTGTCGTTATTTTTCGAGTAGTTCATAGTCTTTTTCATACAGTGTTTGTCCATTGTACCCCAGACTACACTCTGTAGCATTTAGGCGACTAAAATGTTTTATGCTAAAGATCCTTAAACTCTTTATATCTATTGTCTTACAATGTGCAATGGTTTTCAAGTCTCGACGTATAATAATTCTCTTGGATCTGTGTTTGCACGCAAAGTAACAATTCAGTATGTATTTGATCGTCATTTCACAATAAATATGGATTATCATGCAATCGATAGCAACAACTGGTATTTATTGGACTCGAACGTCGAACTAATGTATCCATATCTTACTCAACCCTCTAAGTATCCTTATCTTGTTGTCGTCTGAGTACGAAAAAAATAACATTGTCAGTCAAGCTACTCCACGTTATTTTCTGCCTGAACTGCTTGACGATAACCAGCTGTAAAGTCCTTAAACTATAACTTGAATTCCCACTAATTTGAGTGTCGTTATATATAGATAGCAGCCTAGAATATAGGACTTCATCGAATACTTTTTTGAAGTAAAGATGCCACTTTTGTTGGTAACCTCATACCTCAAATTTCGTGATGGGGATCCCTATAAATTGAACTGGTTTCGATTTCAGAAACTAGATTTCCAATTCGCTTTTGAAACATCACTAATTAACATTAAATCACAGAATTCTTTCTGATATTTTAGTTTGTTTAATTGTATTACCACTATTAGTTGAGGAATTTAAGGAACTATTGCTTCAGAGAGAATGACGTGAATAATGACCAAAATACTTTTTTCATAAAGAGTTTGGGTTGCATAGGCTGATATCTTCGTAAATCTTTACAAATCACTCAACTCAATAAAACATCTTAGATTAATAAACTACATCATTTAGATAGGGTTTTTCATATCATGGTCTCAGACTATAAAGCTAAGTGACACATGTCCATGTCTCACAATCCGCACCAGTATCCAACACAATTTCAGATACACCTTGATGATGAGTGCCAGCTGAAATCAAACATTTGTTCAGGGTTTCCGGTCTACTACTTTAAACCACCGTGCATCAAACACAATGTACATTCCTTGAAACTAGTGGCCAAATTTCAGAAATTAAACATTACTGAGGGCTAGATAAATATAACTGGTCACTAGCCAATTATTAATCAGTGTACATTATGAACAAACAAATGCTGATTTTCACTGTTAGTAAGGAAACAAATTATTGAATAAATTGATTAGTTAGCATTTACCTAAAGAAAACATTAATAACTTTGACGAATCACATAACAACAACAATACCTTGAAATTCGTTAAAAAAACTGTCAAATAAATAGAAAGCTAACTGCATATTGGTCGCTGTGATTAATTTCTAAAAAAAGTTTATCAAATATTGGCATTTATGCTTAGTTTCTGATAGTAATAAAATGACTTCCTTCATGTACCAATAAATATGTTTGTAACATAAAAATATTCTGTCAAAAATGACATAATTAGCTGAGAAATAAGAAAAGTGAAAATACTGACTTTCTCATGAAGAATATCAACAAGATCTTTCATGTCTAGTTAAGGGTAACACGAAAATAATACCTTGATACTTCGGTAAATGATGTCATTTTTCTATGGACAAAATTGACATTGGCAATCCTGAGAGTAATACTTTAAGTTGCAATCAAAACAAAAAATCATCTATTCACATACAATTTAGTTAGACTAGAAGTTTATTCTTTTAATAAAAGAAAGTGTTATCAATTCACTTAGGTCATATATTTTATATCATAATTGAAAGAAATATGAGAAAACTCTCTCTAGTGCCTTAATCAAGATAAATGACTGCTTTAAGCAACCATCTCCCCAAGATCTGTTATTTCAGTAATAATTGTAGTATGATTAAAAATCCCACTAGTATAATGCACTAATTTCAGTAAGTTTATATATATATATATATATATATATATATATATATATAAATTGCTTTGAGAATCCAGAAATTAACTGGGTGTAAAATAAGTTTTCTACAATATTGGATATTTCGTACTAAGAACTCTTCACTATAATCTAATAAATGATGTTGAATAAAGATGATTATCATTACAATCCAAGCTTATGGAGATTTCAACTGATAACTGAACTACAAGCTTCGCGAACTTCCACTTCAGTCGAATTATTATTCTTCGGCTTCCTTTGTAATTAAACTTACTTACTTACTCCTGTTACTCCTCTTAAAGGAGCATAGGCCGCTCACCAGCATTCTCCATCCAACCCTGTCTTGGACAGTCCTTTCCAGTTCTTATTCATCCTTTTCATATCTGATTCTGTTCCCCGACCTAACGTGTTCTTTGGCCTTCCTCTTTTCCGCTTCCCTTCAGGATTCCAAGTTAGGCCTTGCCTCGTCATGCAGTTTGATGATTTGCGTAATGTATGTCCTATCCACTTACATCGTCTTTTCCTAATTTCTTCAGCTGGAAGCTGATTTGTTCTCTCTCACAGAAGGCAGTTGCTGATAGTATCCGACCAATGAATGTTGAAAATCTTGCATAGACAACTATTTATAAATATTTGTACATTCTTGATGATGGTTGTAGTAGTTCCCGAAGTTCCAGCTCCATACAGTATAACTGTCTAGACGTTCGTATTGAAGATTCTCAGTTTGATGTTTGTTGAAAGTTGTTTTGAGTTCCATATGTTCTTCAATTGTAGGAATGTGGCCCTTGCTTAACCAATCCTCGTCTTTACGTCTGCATCTGATCTTCCTTATTCATCGATGATGCTTCCCAGGTATGTGAAGGATTGCACATTTTCCAGAGTTTCGCCATCAAGTGTGATTGGATTGGTGTTCCCTGTGTTGTATTTAAGGACCTTGGTTTTCCTCTTGTGTATGTTGAGGCCTACTGATGCAGAGACTTCTGCCACACTGGCTGTCTTTATCTGCATTTGTTCGTGTGTATGCGATAGGAGGGCTAGGTCATCTGCGTAGTCCAAATCGTCTAGTTGTTTCTGAGCTGTCCATTGTATGTCATTTTTCCCCTTAGATATCGAGGTCTTCATAATCTAGTCAACTACCAAAAGAAAGAGGTAGGGAGAGAGTAGACAGCGTTGACTCCGGTCGTAAATTGGAATGCATCTGTCCTCCATGCACGACTTTGCACTGTAGTCCGTCGTATGAGTTCCGGATAATGTTGACAATCTACTCAGGAACTCCATAATGTCGTATAAGTTTCCATAATGTCCTCCTATCTACACTGTCAAATTCCTTTTCATAATCAATGAGGTTGATGTATAGTGACGAGTTCCACTCAACTGATTGTAATGAGAATAACTTACAAATTCATTATAAATATAAATGATCTTCAATCGATTTATATATAAAAAAGATAGAAATAATTATTATTTCATATTATTAGTAGTATTATAGACATCAGTAGTATAAACAGTATTATAT